TTCTATTCTATTCTATTCTATTCTATTCTATTCTATTCTATTCTATTCTATTCTATTCTATTCTATTCTATTCTATTCTATTCTATTCTTAATGTAGAATTTGGGGATATGGTACTGGTAAAAACTACACATTAAGTTTGTGCTTTATCTGTAAAATGCCTTTTCATGACCTGCTCCTGTTTAACTGCGTCATTTTGAAGGTACATCGACCAAGGACGAAACCCTCAGCTGTACACTAAGGAATGTCTGGAAAGAGCCTTGGCAAGGAACGAGCAGGTCAAAGGAAAGATAGACACTATGACGGTAAGAGGATATCACCGGGAATCTCACATTACTGAGAAGCTTCCCATTCAGTCTGAATGGAAAGTTTATTCACAGATTTATTGCAGTTTGTTTATGTTTAGCATAATCCATATATAAAGGGGTCTGAAGCATCCAAGCTAAGGGTTTATAATAACTTAAGAAAAGCCTGTAAAAGGTATGAACACCCTTATAAATTTTTAACAGGAGAAATTTAGCCACATGTTGGTGTCCTTGTTTCGGGATGATTTCAGCCAAAACTCTTACTCTGCATTTATTTAATTTGTTTTCATTTCTAGCAGGATTTGTTCCTTGTGTCCTCGGCTAAACAGGAGCAGTAAACATAATGACGATTTGACTGAATAATTTATATAAATTTCATATTAATGCCATTTTCTTTTTCTTTACTGTTCCATTTTTTAAAGATGGTTAACTTCTAAAATAACTTCAGTGAGCATAGTGCAAAATAAAAAAAACAAAACAACTAAAAGGTTAATATTTTATTTACCAGATCTTAAACATCTAATCTTCAGCATTGAATAATGATACTTAGGACTATATTTGAGATGGATAAAACACAGTTTAATAGTTACATACGCAGTTATAGATAGTACAATGCATGCAATACATACAAATGTAAAGCGGTATTTTTAGGACTACATCCACTTTATACTCATTAGGTTTGTAGAAAATGATATTTAGTTTGGTCTACTTGCACTTAATTTACAAAATCAATAAAAAGAATAATTTTTTTTAAATGTAAAACATGTCAGCTAAAAATCATTCTTAATGTGATGGAAACAGGCTCTAGATTAACAGAAACATGTCTAACAACAGAACTAAAACCAACATGGAGTAGAACCTCTCAATCAGTGAGCTTTTCATAATGGTGGTGTATTTTGAGAAATAATTACCAAAAGTATCTCAAAATCAGTCACAGATCTGCCTGTATTTTAAATGGGCTTTTAAATTAAATTATTTGGCATGCTAGCAACTTGCTTCTGGTTTCTGGTGGCACAACTCTCATATCTCCATGGCTCTGGGTTCCAGTTATCAATGTATTTAGTCTACCTTTCTTCCTTGTACTTCTTTAAAAGAGGCTTCCTAGTAGGATGACTGTCATGCAGACCAGTTTGATGCAGTTTGCGGACCGTTATGTATAGAACCTGCCATATTTAACTACTAAATAATCTACTCCTTCATAATATAGTTAGGTTTCAGCTACGATTTTTGTTAACAACTATACAAAGCATGTTTTTGGGAGGCAACTTGCTAATGGATGTTATCCACGTACTGTTTTAGTTATGGATTACAGAAAATAAACTACCAATCTAAACTTTTAAGACTAATTGTTTTTGTTCAAAAAGTTTTGAAAAAATATATTTTTCTGCATCCATTGCTCCTCTAAAAAACAAACATCTATATAATCTTAAAATGTATCTAATATTCCTGACTATAAATGGATGGAAATGTTTCCATTCAGCTGTTTCTATCTTCACTCTAAAAATACTGCAGTGTTTATGTGTCACTATCACATAGAATTAGTTTATTTACCTCTAAACTAATTTACAGCAGTAGAAGTCTTAAAGCCTTACAAAACATAAACAAAAATCCCATTTTCTATTTTTTGTCATTTGCAGAAATTCAAGAGTCTCTTGATTTCTGAGCTCAGCAAAGTGTTCCCTGAGGAAATGGCCAAATACAAAGAGAAACGTGGAGAAGACGGGCCTTCCTAGTGACTACAGCACAGCGCCACCCCCTGACCAACGACCTGTGACCCCCTGCTGGATGGAAAGTCTAAATGGAGTTCAAACAAGCTGTATGTTCGGTTGCAGCAAGCATGTGATAACTGCTTTTTATTTCTCCTCAAGGTTGTATGTCAGAGCTGCCAATCACCCCCTTCCTGTACAGTGAAACTTATTTAAATCATTCTTGTTGGTGGAAACTAAAGTACCTTTTTTTTTTTTTTTTTTTTTTTTTTATGCCCTGAATACGGTAACTTTTCTTCAACTTTTTGAGATTTACGGAGAGAAATGTTTCAAGGCTAGTTTCTAATAAAGTATTAGGAAATAGACTCCATCAGGGTGCACAAAACGTATATTTATACCTGTACTTTTTATAATGCTTCTTTATCATGTTGCAAATTTAAAGGATTTTTGTTTTTTTATCATGCTCAGGTTTCTAAGGGCCATGGAATGGAAATTTTGACAATAACTTTGTGCCTCAGAGTGCAATGTGTCGCTTGTTTATATTGTAATGTTTGTTAATAAATCAATTTTTTTGTATCTGCGAACAGAGTCATTTATATATATCTTTTTCTTTTGTTTGCTTTGAAATCCATTGGAAAAATTTGTTTCGGTTAAATAGAAGTTAATCTTAAAAGAATGTAGCTGGATTAAAGAAAAAGTACAAAAATACTTGAAAGATTAATTGTGGCTTTTGTTTTATATAAATGACAGAAATGTTAGGATTACGTGCATTTCTACATATTATGCAGCCTTTAAAAAATGTCTGATAAGAGGAACAAATACTTAATTAAATATAGTTACCTAGCAACACATCACTGAAATGACAAATCCATGAAGTGTTATTACTGGATTGTTTTGAAACTAGATACGTAGCAGTCAATAATGCACTGTGACAAAATATTCTGAACTGGTTGATTACAGTTTTATTTAAGGCAATAATGTTTTAAAAATGTATTCATGGTTGATGGTTTATAAACTTCAACAGGTTCATCAGCTCTGTTAATGAGTTACACAGATCAGATGTTAACGGCTGAACCCCAAACTGGCCCCAAAACACTAACCCTCCGTTTGCGCGTTCTTGCGGAGGGTCAGCCGTCCCAAATGGGCGGATTTAGGAAATTTGGGGCAATAGGCAAAGACAAGCAGGGGGGCCTCTGAATTGAGAAGACGACACATAAAACAGACCTATTATACAGATACAGAAATCTTAATAGCATAGACATCCTTTATTTGTTCTATGTTTTGTCCTTCTTTTCTTGTCCCTTTCTTATTGTTTTCCTCTATGTTTTGTTCTCAGCTGACTTTTCATGCTGCATCAAAAGGAATGAAATATTTTTTCCAAGTACAAAGCTCACTTAGCTGATTGCTCCTTCTTGTGTTTCCAAAAAGGTGAAGGAAAAAGTAAATAAGACGGTCCTCCTTTTTACTGTAGACAAGCCATGATCTGCTTATCTGTTCTCCAGTTTTCACTTGTATGAAATAATAGTTTCATGAATCATGCCAGCAGACAGGATAGGAGAGCAGGAGGCGCGGTTACCAATCTACTTGCTCTGGAGAGCAGAGTTTGGTGCTTTTATATGTTGTCTTTAGTAGCAGAAAAAAGTCGCTAGATTTGATGCTAGGCACTGTTTTGAAATAAAAGTGCTAGAGGGGTCTGAAAAGTTGCTAAATATAGCAACAAAAGCGCTAAGTTGGCAACACTGCTCTACGCACCGTTTGTTTTCAAATGGTTTGCTGCTGTCTGTTTGGACCTTTCTGAACATGTGCAGCAAATGGACTGATCCAATGTAGTGGACACTGAAGGGGGGCTGATGGCATTTAAACAAAAGGATTTTTATCAAAAACATAATTAGTGTGCACAAATAAGGAATAGTTGTATTAACCGTACATGTAAACAGTTCTATTGCTGTCTATGCTGCCAGGAACTTGGGGCTGTAGGCAACTGCCTAGTGTTGCTAAACTTTAAATCCCCCCCAGCCCCCCCATCCAAAACCACATATCGGGCAGGGCAAGTGGACCATTCAGCCCTTAAATGGCGAGTGTGCATCTGTGCAGGCTACATCGCTGCATCAGTGCAGCGATTAAGGCCCCGTCCACACGAAGCCAAACCCTGGCCTAAACGCACAAATTTTTCACCAAACCAGCCTCTCATCCATACGAAGCCGGCGTTT